TTTTTTTTTTCTTTTTAATGCCCTTAACGTCACAACACAAAGCCCAAGAGTTGAGCACTCTCCTCCCCTCAAAAATTAAAAAATTCAAAGTGGAGAGATTTTTGAATTGTTCCATTTTTTGACGGCAGCACCGCTCAACTCTCGCATTTCTTGCGCTGCGACGTCCCGTAAAAATAAAAAAGAAAAAATTCAAAATGCTGAAAAATTGAACGGGCAACTTTGATTTTTAACAAGCTGGTTTTTTTTCATGATTTTTTTTCATTTTTATTTTATTCTATTTTATTTTTTTTTTTTTTGTTTTCCCTGAGCTGGAGAAGCTGCTGGCAGAGATCCTGCAGTGCCTGCAGTGTCACTGCCCGGGCTCGTGTGACTCGGTGCTGCTGCAGCAGCTGAGCCCCGTGCTGAGCGTGGCCTTCCAGCACAGGAGCCGCCACATCCGCCACCAATGTGCCCAACTCTGGAACTGCACCTTCGCCAGAGCCTCCTCCCTCACCTACCCCCAGCACCTCCAGTAAGAAACGATTATTACTAGTATTATTATTATTATTATTATTATTGTTATTATTATTATTGACATCTTCACAAGTTACGTCGTGCCATCTGATTCCTTGTGCAAGCTCACAATGATTGTGAGCTGCTGCTCTTCCTCTGCACCTTTCCTCCTCTTATAAATCTGATTTTTTTTTTTTTTCTTTTTTCTTTTGTTGTTGAACCCTGAGCAACTCCAGGAAGAAACACATTTTTATTATTTACATCTTCACAAGTTGTGTTGTGCCATCTGATTCCTTGTGCAAGTCTTGGGATCTTTTTATTGTGAGCTGCTGATCTTTCTCTGCACCTTTCCTCCTCCCATAAATCTGAAATTCTTTTTTTTTGTTGTTGTTGAACCTTGAGGAAGTCAAGTAAGAAACTCATTTTTATTATTATTTACATCTTCACAAGCTGTGTTGTGCCATCTGATTCCTTGTGCAAGCTGAGAGATCTGCTGCTCCTTCTCTGCACCTTTCCTCCTCTTATAAATCTGATTTTTTTTTCTTTTTTCTTTTGTTGTTGAACCCTGAGCAACTCCAGTAAGAAACATTTCTTTATTATTATTATTGACATCTTCACAAGTTGTGTTGTAGCATCTGATTCCTTGTGCAATCTGGGGGATCTTTTTATTGTGAGCTGCTGCTCCTTCTCTGCACCTTTCCTCCTCCTATAAATCTGAAATTCTTCTTTTTCTTCTGTTGTTGAACCCCGAGGAACTCCAGTAAGAAACACATTTTTATCATTTACATCTTCACAGGAATAGCTCACAAATTGTGTTTGTTGTACCATTTGATTCCTTGTGCAAGCCTTGGGATCTTTTTATTCTGAGCTGCTGCTCCTTCTCTGCACCTTTCCTCCCATAAATCTGAAATTCTTTTTTTTTTCTTTTGTTGTTGAGCAGGTCTGTGTTAAGCCAAGCCAAAAAGAAAATCCCTCTGCTGCTGCCTGGTTTTGAAACCATTGAGATGTCTGAGGAGTGCAGTGGCCCCTTCTCTGACATGGTAAATATTTTGTTGGGATTTCATGGGAATTATTCAGCACGGAGTGAAAGGTCAGTTGGGATTTTTAATCTGACTGACCTGCAGTGGTTTCATGTTTACAATGATAAACTCTGCTGGGTTAGCACTGTCAAAAGACTCAGCTGGTTCTTCCACTTCCTGCATTGTAAATTTTGGGTTCTAGGAATTTATTTGAAATAATTCATTTTTAAATTGTCCTCTACATAATTTAGAGGAGTGGGAGGTGAGTGTGGAATGGTTTTATCCTAGAAATGACCACGGGGTGGGTTTGTGAGCTGGGAGTTTCTTCCCACAGTGCATTCAGTGTGGTTTTGTCTGAATAGATGGAAAATTCCCAGCTGGATGCAAAAATCAGTGGAATGGAGGTGAAGGTGGGACAGAAACGAGATTCAATATTGGCACAGACGAGTGAATCAAAAAATGATGGCAAAGACAAATCCAGCAACGTGCAAGGAACCCCTGCCAAGGTAAAGTGTTCCCAGAGAGGTGTCCTGGAATCAAATCCAGCACCTTCAGGACAAAATCAGGAATTTTGGCAATGCTGAAATATTTTCCTTTCCAGCTTAGGCTACCCAGCAGAGTCTGATTTGATATTCCTGTCAGAATTCTCTGGGTGTGAGGGTGGTAAAAAAAAACCCTCAGTCCTCCCTCTGGCTGGAGGTTGTGACAGATTTGGGTTTTGGTGGGTTTTGGATTTGGCAGATCCCTCCCAAGGAGGGAATTGTGTCCCTCAGGAATTCCTGATTTTCAGTTCCTCTCTTGTTCCTAACCCAGGATTTGGCATTTTTATCTTTCTGCAGTTAAAACTAGAATTTTCATCTCCTAAGACAACAAGTGAGACGCTTCTGGAAGAGGAGAAATCTGTTGATTTTGTGTTTATTCCTCCAGAAACAAAACCAAGAATATTGACAGAGCATCAGAAAGAAGTGCTTAGGTCAAAGAGGTTTGTGATTTTTTGTTTTAATGTGAAATGTCATTCCTTGAGCTTGACTTCACTTCAGTTCCTGTTTCTCACACCACCACGGGTGATTGAGCCTTGTTCTTAAATACAAGTTATTAAGTTTAAAGTTAAGAGAGTTCTTTGTTTTGCTCTTTTCAAGCAACCAAATTATTCTTGCAGTTGCATTTCCTCTTTTGATTCAATGCACTCTCTCTAGTCTGTGTGGAGTTGGGAAATTTGGAGTTTAGATTTTTACTTCGTGACTCACTTGCGGTGTGAAATAAAAAATGTCTTTTTTCATAAATCATGGAAATGAAATGATTGGGTAAAACAATCTGAGGAAAGGATTTCTTGAGTCAGCAGCATGTCAGGAATTAGGATATTCCCAAGACTCATCTTAATTGCAAAAGAATCTTTGGAATGAATCTCTTTTTAATGTGAGGAAACAACACTGGAGTGCTTAGGCAGCAAGAGCAGAGTAAGCAGGACTCGTGTGCAGGAACTCCTCTGGGTTGTGGTGGATTCTTTGCAGAGTGGGATCCCAATCACAGCTTTTATTCCCCAAAAATAAAGATGTAATGCAGCTAAAAATCATGGCCTTGAAATAAGGAGATAATAAATTCCAGAGAAGAGTCTGACCCCATTCCTGGTGTTGTTCCAGAGTTGATATTCCTGCCATGTACAACAACTTGGATGCATCCCAGGACACCACCTCATTTTCCCAGTACACCCAGAGCCAGGAAGATTCTTTGTAAGTAAAAATGCTCATTAAAGTTGTGCTCATTAGAGGTTTCTCTCTTGGCAGCAGCACTGATTTCAGTAATTCTCTTTTAGGGAAGTACCACCTTCAGTGGAAAATGCCAAAGCAGACACTGCAAACCAGCCTCAGGTAATTTCCCATTGTCTGATGGTGATTAAAATTGAGTTTCTGCCATAACATGAGAGCTTTTGGGGTTTGTTTTCCATTCTCAGCACCAAGTGAGAGAAAATTTAACACCACTGCAGTGTTGTATTCTGCTTTGTATTCTTTATTCCTGACAGGCCCAGCCATTGGGTATTTGAATTCAGAATGGGAGGTTTTATGTGAGCAGTGTGTGATCACTCATGTGCCTGTGCTGTACAATATTTTATTGGGGTAAAGATTGTAAATCCTGAATTCCTTTTTGGGGAGGAATTCCTGAACAGCTGCTGTGCTAACTGTAGTGCCAATCAGACCAGGTAAAATACAGCAAAACCTCAAACATCTTTGGAGTTCTTTGGTTTGGAATTAAATGGTTTTAAAACAAATTAAGTGTAGTTTATAGCTACCAATAGATAATAAATAATTTGGAGAAAGGATGATTAGGAAAACCTTGGAAGGGTGATTAGAAAAATCTTGTGAGTCTGTTGTTTTCTATTGCACCAGAAATGTAGTTTACTATTATATTATATTCACAAGACAAGCACAACCATTTCATTTGATTCCTAGGACAAATATTTTGCTGTTGATATTTTTGGGACAGGAGGAAAAGGCAGGGAGTGAAGGATGTCAGTCAGAGGAGAGCCCAGCCTGCAGCAGCGAGGGAGAGGCCAAAAATGAGACAGCTGAGATGATCCCAGAGGAAACATCCATTGGAGAGGGATTGGAGACAAATTCTATGGAAGCAGCTTCCCAGGAAGCCTCAGCAGAGAAGGAGGACACCTCAAATGTCACCAGCAGCTCGGCCTCCAGTGACATCATCTCTGGCACCCCCCAGCCCGTGAGCCGGCGCCAGTCCTTCATCACCCTGGAGAAATTCGGGGCTGCAGAGAGCAGAGCCTTCAGCCCAGCCCCACTGAGCTCCGTGTCAGGGCTGCCTGGGAGTGCTCCTGGGGCAGCCACGCAGGAAAACACCAGTGGCAGCAAAGGCAGTGCTAAAGCAGAGAAATCTGGAGAGGAAAATAAAAACATTCCTGCCATGCGCAGGGTGACACGGCGGCAGAGCAGGATGGAGCTCCAGGGCAGTAAATCCGAGCTCCAGGGCAGTAAATCCGAGCTCCAGGGCAGTAAATCCGAGCTCCAGGGCAGTAAATCCGAGCTCCAGGGCAATAAATCCGAACTCCAGGGCAATAAATCCGAACTCCAGGGCAATAAATCCGAGCTCCAGGGCAATAAATCCGAACTCCAGGGCAATAAATCCGAGCTCCAGGGCAGGTCAGAGGAGTCCCTGGCCTCTGAGAGCCTGGAAGGCAGTGCTGAGCTGGGCTCTGCAGTGGAGGATTTGAAGAACGTCCTGCTGAGCCAGTCGCAGGCTTTGCTCTCCACGGAGGCAGACATCCAGAAAGTCGAGGATGCAATCGCAGAAATGGAAAAGACTCAAGAGCTGGACATGGACTCGAAAGAAAACACCCCCCCAGACAGCACCAGCTGCTCTGAGCAGGCACCAGGGGATGACAGCCAGGTGCCACCAGTGTCCCCTCACCAAAAACAGCTCCGACGTTCCTCCAGGAGACGCTCAGAGACTCTGGAGAGCTCCTCGGCCAGCCAGGAGAAGGAGGAGGGGCTCCAAAAGAGAGACAGGAGGAAAGAGGAGGAGAAAGCTGGGCAGAAGAAGCTGTCCCAGGGAAAAGGTGACGGATCCCAAAAGCAGAAAGGAATTCCTGGGAAAACAACAGAAAGCACAAAAGAGAGCAGCCAAGCTGAGAGAGTGGCAGAGGACTGGAGCTCCAAGGACTCTGCTGCCTGCAGGAGCCTGGATGAGGAGGGGAGCAGAGGTGGCAGGAGGGCAGAGGATCCCCCCAGGGCGGAGGGGGAGGCTCAGGGCAGCCTCAGCACTGCAGGGCAGAAGGTGGAACGCCCACGCTACCACACCAGGAGATCCTCCCAAGGTTTGCTGTCCAGCATAGAAAACTCTGAGGCTGACAGCTCTGAGGGCAAGGAGGAGAGCACAAAGAAGAGAAAAGCCATAAAAGTGAGGAGCAGAAGCAATTCTCTTGAAGGGAAATTGAAAGAAGGACAAACAGGGAGCCAGAGCCTTGAGGGATCTCCCCAGGGAAATGAAGCTAAGAGTGCAGTGGAGGAAAATAAAGGAGATCCTGAGGTGAGCACAGGTGCTGCAGTGCCAGCTGAAGCAGGTGGCCTGGAAAACCAGGATATTGCTGCAGCTGCTGGAGAGGCTGTGGGGTCTGACAGCTCTGAGAATGCAGGTGCTCTGCAGGACACCAGCGTGGAGCCAAACAAGGCTGATGCATCCATGGAGTCACTCAGCAGCCCTTGTCTGCCTGAGCACGATGGGAGAGCAGCAGAGGAGAACAAACAGGAGGAGAAGGAAACCAGCCCAGGGGACTCTGCAGCAGCAGCAGCAAATTCTTCAGGTGCTGAGCCCTCCTCTTTGCAAAGCCATGAGTGTCAGAGCAAGAGAAGCAAAAGGGTGAAAAAAATCAAGAGCTGTGATTGCTGCTTTAAAAAGCCAAAGCAGCAGGTGACTGAATCAAAGTTCACTGAGTCAAAGAAGGAGAAAGCTCCTGAGCTGGAGGAGCCTGAGACCACCCCAGCTCACGCTCCTGGGAATGTTTCTGGTCACTCAGATCTGGAGGAGAGCTTGGCCCTGGCTCCATGTGCAGCGAGCACTCCACTGCACCCTCCCAAAGAACCCGGCAGCTGCAGCTTGGAAAGCCAGGAAAGGGCTCTGGAAAACCTGGAGGGAAGCAGTGTGGTGGTGGTGGAGGAGGAGAATGCTGAGAATGCAGAGGGTTCAGCAGCTGAAACCACCGAGTCCATGGAGGAAATAAAGGAACCTGCAGAGCAGAAGGAGCAAACAGAACAGGTTCTGCCTGAGAGTGTTCCTGGAGATCCCAGGGAGAGCTGCCTGGACTCGGGGGACACAGGGGAAGAACCAGCAGCTGCAGAAAAAGAAGAAATAAATGAAAATGGACAACTGGAAGAGGTGCCTGAGGAACTGAGTGTTGACAGCAAACCTGAGGAAAAAGAGGTGAAGGAGCTCGAAGGAAGTCAAGAGGATGAAGGAGAAGCTGAGAACTCAGCTGGAGAAACTTGTGTTGTTCCAGATCAAGAGATAAAGGATGAAGTGATGGAAACTGAAATAAAAGTGTGTGAAAACGTGGCCTTGGCAGACACGAGTGTGGATTCCCCTCTGAAGGTGGAAGGGGGTCCCCAAGTGCAGGTGGCTGAAAGCCCCACCAGCCTCCAGGCCCGCTGCACCTGGTCCCCCTCAGCCTCGCCCTCCACCAGCATCCTGAAGAGAGGGGTCAAAAGGAGCCAGGAGGATGATTCCCTGTCACCTGCCAACAAGGTATGCCACGGGAATTGTGGGGTTCTCTGCACACCTGGGATGAGGAGCTGTCATCGTTCCTGCTGGGTTGAATTAGTGGTTTGCATTGTGATTTATCTCACAGCAAAGGTGAGGTTTGGGGTTGGAATCTCTGACAGATCTGTGTTGTGAGGGGTTTTATTTTGGAGCAGAGCACCAGAGTCTGTTGTGCTGCCTGGATCACTGCAAACCCAGGAGCAGCACCCTCAGGGTTGTACATTGAGATTCCTTTGGGAATCCTCACGGCCTGTCCTTGGCTGAAACATTCCCTGTGTCGTTCAAGAACTTCAGTGATTCCAAACTGAATTTTTTTTTTTGTCTGCTCAGACTGACTTCACCGAGCTGTGCTGGGTTGAGTTCCAACTCTAAAACCTCCTTCTCTCCTCCTCAGATCCGTCGAGTGTCTTTTGCAAATCCCATTTTTCAGGAGGGCCTGGCAGATGACATCGACAGGAGGAGCCCTGTCATCAGATCCCATTCCTCACCCTCTTCCAGAAGTCTTAAAATCCTCTCTAACATGCAGGTCAGGGTAAATCCTGTTACAATATTCTGTGTCCCCCCAAGTATTTGTGTATTTATTGTGAAAAGCATGACTTTGGTGCATGTTTGTAGTCACTTACACACAGTTGTAAGATCAGAAGTGTAAGAAACAAAACTCCTTTAGCATGACTTATTCTGTTACTCTGAACTCAAGTGAACTCTGAGGTTTCAGGGGCTAAAAATCTCACTATTGACTGAATTCCTGCTGTTAACTGAATTCCTACCATTAACTGAATTCCTACCACCCTGAGATATTTTTTTCCTCTTTTTCTATCCAGCACATTACCACTCCAACCAAAGGATTTCTGTCCCCAGGATCTCGTACCCTTAAATTTAAGAGCTCAAAGAAGTGCTTAGTAAGAAGTGCTTTGGTTCATGTTTCTCTTCTATTTATTTATTTTTTTTTCCTGTATTCAGTGTGTGACAGTTAATTTAATGCTTTTCCCTGTGTTATCCCAGATCACAGAAATGGCCAAGGAATCTCTGCCATGCCTTACAGAATTTGTGTATCCTGCCTTGGCTGGCTGCAAAGCCCCCGTGGATGTCATCTTACCTCACATCACATCCAACATCTGGTCAGTGGCTTGCTGCTTTTGAAGGTGACATTTCAGTAGAAACTGAGTTTTTACTGAACCTACAAAACCGGAATTTTAGCCAGAATTCTTTAAAAAGGTTGGGGTTGGTTGGGTGAGGAAGAGACTTGACTCTTTTGGAATTCTTCAAGTTTGGATGATTGAAAAGCTCCCCAGGGATGGGAAGTTTGTGCATGAGTTGGATTGATGATGCTGTGGGTCCCTCCCAGCTCAGGATCTTCCCTGATTCTGTACCAATAACTCGTTTTCCCTCCCCTGCTGCAGTGCCAGGGGCCTGGGGCAGCTCATCCGAGCCAAGAACATCAAGACCGTGGGAGACCTGAGCACTCTGACAGCTCTGGAGATCAAAACTCTGCCCATCCGCTCCCCCAAAGTCTCCAATGTCAAAAGAGCTCTGAAAGGATACCATGAGCAACAGGTAAAGCTGCATTTTAGCACCCAGGGAGTCAATATTGATCTCATTTACTGCAGGAGGAATTATCTGGTTTTACATCGTTAAAAACATTCAACACCTAATCCCTCCCTGCCCCACTACCATGAATTCAAGATACAGCTGACTTGGTTAAACTATTATTATTATTATTAGTGATTGGATTTATTATGAGGCTAAAATATATCTCACTGTGCAAATTTTATTTTTTTTTTTTTTATTCAATCTGAAAATGTTTTCTCTCCCCCCAAAAAAATGCCCAGGTAAAATCTCGAGTGATGGAGGAAAGCTCAGTGCTTGAAGATGCAGAAAAACCTGGGAATGATGTGGAGGAGAAACCTCTTTGTGGAGATGAGGAAAAACTTGCAGCAGGTACCTGCTGGTGGCTTTTTGCTTTGGAATTGGAGGGTTCTGCTGTCTTCAGTCTCTCCTGGTGGGAACAACTCATCTTTTTGTTTTTCTTTTGGGTTTAATTTTATTCTCCCAATCCTGATCAAACCCTGCAAAACTCACCCTGAGGAAGGGCAGGGTGGAGTGCTTTTGTTGGGAACGTTTCCTATGGAACGTAAATGAAAATTTTCGTATATATAAATTATTAATTATTAAACTCCATAGATAAAATATATATATATGTGAACTATAAATACTTTATATGTGCTCGGAGATGTGATTTTGTACAAAACCAGCTGGAATTCTGCCTGGATTTTGCTGCATTGTGTCCCTTTCTCCTTTCAGACCTGGTGGACACAGGCACCCCGAGCAGCGAGCAGCCCCCAGTGGATCTCCTGGGGCAGATCCAGGCTCTGGCTGCCCAGCTGAGCTCAGAAGATCTCCATGGCTATTCTGGCAGGCAGCTCTTTGAGATGCAGGAGAAGCTGGCAGGGATGGCCTCGTGTATCCTGAGGACCCTGCAGGCTCGCTGGCACTCCCCTCCCCACGAGGGCCCCGAGTAGCTGCAGCTCCCTCGGGAGGACTCTGCTACAACAACACTTGTCCCCACATTGTTTTCCTTACTGCTCACTTACTCCTTACATCTGCATTTTGTGCTATAGGATGTTTTTTAACATTTCCATGAATTTACTTTCTTTTTTTTTTTTTTTTTTTCTTTTTTAATTTTTGTTTTTGTGTTGTTTTTTTTTTCCCCTCTAATTTGTGGGACTGTTTCCTCCCTGGCAGAGGTGTTTCTATGGGATTGCTATGCATCTTCCTTTCAGGCAGTGAAACTAAACCTGACAAAGCTGTGCAATAGCAAAGACTGTGAAAAACCAAACCAAGAGAGTAATTAAATTATTTTTTCAAATCCAAAGTGTTCTTACTGCTGCAAACTCTTGCTGTGGGGTGAGAGCTGCAGCTGCCAGCTCTGCTCCCCTCCTACCCCAGCTGCTTCTGGCAGCACGTGTGAGGTAAGCTGGGCTTTATTCCTTCCAGCAGGAGCCTGGGATTTGTACTGGATCTATTTTTCCATGTATTTTTCTACAACTCAAGATAAGGAGTGCTGAGGAAAATGTGCTTGTATGGGAGAAAGACTCTGCAAAGCCCCCCAGGCTTTGCCCCATGGCCTTTGCTGGCAGCAGTTCTCCTTGTGGGAAGAATTTTTGTTGGTTTTTTTTTTTTTTTCCATGGGGAAATGGATGAGTTGGACAAGAGCTCTTTGTATATTGTGTACAGACTCACAGCAGATGTTGGGTAATAATTTATGGAGTTTTAATTGCATGGACTGCATTGCTGCTGCTTGGGGACCTTCAGCCAGAATTCCCAGGTTTTTCCTCAGGAATTCTGATCTGTATATATTGGACTGTAGCTGTCCAGATGGATGTTTATTGGAAGGAACTGCTGCAGGTGGTTTTAGAACTTTTTACATGGGCAAATAAAAGAGCAAATAGTTCCCAGACTTGGTTGTGGCCTCGTGGTTTGGTGGTTTCTGGGGTTCTTCTCTTCAGCTCCCCCTCAAATCTGGATTCCCGAGGCTGGGAGGGGCCTTGGAATGTCACCAGTGCAGGTCCTCAAAACTCTGAGCATGTTTTGTCCTGTTTGTGTCTCATGGAGAAAAGGGGCAGGACAGACAGCCTGGAGCTACAAGAGGATCTGAGGCTTTTCTTGCTTTTCTGAGAAATTATTTTGGTTCCACATCTGCCTCCTTAGGAGAGTTCAGCTTTACCCTGGCCAGGTGAGGATGTTCCTGACATGTGGAGAGGGATTTTTATTCCCTCCTTTCCTGTGGAGTGGCTGCTACCAGGTGCTGCAGTAGATGAAGCAAAAAAAATGATGTTCAAGTGTGAAATAAGCCCAGATCTGGGTCCTTCCCTTCCTCAGCAGTTTGTGGGATGAATTCCCTTTCCCAACACCACAGAATCCATCCATACTGCAGAAACCTCAGCTTTATTCATCACTAATTTACAAGAAATCACAGCTTTTGCCCCCAGAACAGTTGCAGGACATATTCATGAGAGCTCAGCAAGCAGGAGAAGAGGAGGTGGTTGCTTTTCCCTCCCCAAATAAATTGGTTTGAAATACAAAGCTTAAATGGAAAAGGGAAGTAAAGAGATTCAAACATTTTTTAGAACAGCCCAGAAAAATTCTCTGTGTGGGAGAATGTATCAGGTAATGTCTTGTTAGTCTTTAGTAATGGAATTTTGGAGATGAAATGTTTGAAATTCCAATTTGGGAGTGTCTGCCATTGGGAGAAAGGCAAGATGTGAAAATTCCAGGTGTGTTTTGCTTAGAGGTGGAAAATTCCAGATGTGTTTTGATCTGCAGTTATTTCTTTTGTGGCTGAAGGGACCAGGAGGTGCTGGGAGAAATGTCCCAACCCTCGAGGGACATGTCCCATCCTCCGGGGGACGTGTCCCAGCCCTCGAGGGTCGTGTCCCATCCCCCGGGGGACCTGTCCCAGCCCCGGGGCTCACACGGCCTCCACGTAGTTGGCGGGCAGCATGCCGGTCTTGCCGGTTCTCTGCACGGTGCCGTACATCCAGCCCTCGTCGATGGCCTGCACGTTGACAATGGTGTCCCCGTCCTTGAAGGACACCTCGTCAGCATCCGCCGCCGTGTAATCGTACATGGCCCGGAACGTCTTCTGCAGGGACACAAAGGGACACGGTCACACCCTGACACAGCTCAGAAACATCATCTACAGGGACACAAAGGAGTGGTCAAAGCCTTGCAGGGGACAGGAGGGACACACCCTGACGTGGCTCAGAATGTTTCTGCAGGGACAGAAGCGACACAGAGGGACATAGTCATGGCCCAGAAAGCCCTTCTGAGGGGACACAAGGGACATGGTCACACCCTGACACAGCTCTGAACGTCTGCAGGGACACAAAGGGACATGGTCAGACCCTGACATAGCTCAGGGTGTTTTCTGCAGGGACACAAGGGACACAAAGGACATGGTCAGACCCTGACATAGCTCAGGATGTTTTCTGCAGGGACACAAAGGACACGGTCACACTCTGACATAGCTCAGGGTGTTTTCTGCAGGGACACAAGGGCCATGCTCAAACCCCAGCTCCAAGTGTCCCCTTTACGTTGTTCCCTCCCAGCAGTTTTTGGTGGCAATGCCATCCCCACTATCCTTTACTCCAGAGGCAGCCTCTGAATGAGGCTTCTCCCCACTCCCAAATTATCAAGGGCTGAGTAGGAAGAAGAGCTCGTTCAGAGATTCCAAGTGCAAAGTTTCTAAGTGTTAATTCAAGATTTCCAAATGCTAATTCAAGATTTCCAAGTGCAAACTTTCCAAGTGCAAATTCAGAGTATTTCAGAGTAATTAAAGGTTTTCAAGTACTAATTCAAGATTTCAAGTGTTAATTCAAAGTTTCCAAGTTCTATTTCAAGATTTCCGAGTGCAAACTTTCCAAGTGCAAATTCAGAGCTTCTAAGTACTAATTCAAGATCTCCGAGTGTTAATTCAAGATTTCCAGGTGCTAATTCAGAATATCCAAGTGCAAACTTTCCAAGTGCCAGTTCAATATTTCCAAGTGCAAATTAAAGATTTCCAAGTGCTAATTCAAGATTTCCAAGTGCTAATTCAGAGTATCCAAATGTAAACTTTCCAAGTGTTATTTTCCAAGTGTTAATTAAAGATTTCCAAGTGCCAATTCAAGATTTCCAAATCCTAATTCAAAGTTTTCAAGTGCCAATTCAAAGTTCCCAAATCCCAATTCACGGTTTCCAGGCACGGAATCACCTTCACCTGGTTTCATGCAGAGCTTCAGCCCTCCCCCCCCCCCCCCCCCCCTCCTCCCCGCACGTTAATTACCTGCCAATTAGTGTTAATTATTGATTAATTAGTGATGCCTGCGGGCCCGCGGGTGACTCACCCCAGCAGTGGAGGGCTGCGAAGGCACCGAGGACAGCGTGGTTTGCTGGGTGGCCACCGAGGACGAGCGCTGCTGCGGCAGCTCGATGGTCTTCACCTGCTTGTACCCCACTGCAGAGAGCACGGTATTATGGGATGGAGAGCGTTCGATGGGGTGGGGGGGGTATTATGGGATGGGGGTTGTTATGGGATGGAGATCATTGTGGGGGGTTGTTATAGGATGTGTGGAGTTATTGTGGGATAAAGATCATTGGGGTTATTATGGCATAGAGATCGTTGTGGGGGCTGTTATGGGATGTGTGGGGTTGTTATAGGATGGGGGGTTATGGGATAGAGATCGTTGTGTGGGGTTGGGTGGGGTTACTGTGGGATGGAGACCGTTGTGTGGGGTTGTTGTAGGATGTGTGGAGTTATTGTGGGATAGAGATCATTGTCTGGGGCTGTTATGGGATAGAGATCGTTGTGGAGGGCTGTTATGGGATGTGTGGGGTTGTTATAGGATGGGAAGTTATGGGATAGAGATCGTTGTGTGGGGTTATTATGGGATAAAGATCATTGTCTAGGGTTTTTATGGGACGGGGGTTGGTATGGGGTTAGGTGGGGTTGTTATGGGATAGAGATC